AATACCCCTTCCCCTAGTCTGCTTTCCCTGCTATCTCTCACCCCTTCCCCTTCTATTTTCCTGTGGGGCAGGATAGATTTCTGTACCCCATTTCCTGTATTTGTTATTTCCCAGTTGCATGTGAAAACATTTTTTTTAAACATGTATTTTTTTTGAACTTTGGGTTCCAAATTTTCTCCCTTCCTCCCTCCCCACCCACCCTCATTGAAAAGGCGAGCAACTCAATATAGGCTATACTTGTGCAGTTATGCAAAACACTTCCATAGTAGACATGCTGTGAAAAACTAACTCTATTTCCCTTAATCCTAGCTTGCCCCCCGCATTTATTCTATTGTTTCTTTTGACCCTGTCCCTCCTCAGAAGTATTTGCTTCTGATTACCCCCTTTCCCAATCTGCCCTCCTCTCTATCATCCCCCTACTCTCTTGTCCCCTTCCCCTCCTATTTTCCTATAGGGTAAGACAGATTTCCATACCCAGTTGAGTGTGTGTGTTATACCCTCCTTAAGTCAAATCCTATGAGAATAAGATTCACTCATTTCCTCTCACCTTCCCCTGGTTCCCCTCCACTGTAAGAGCCTTTTCTTTTCTGTTTTTTTTTTGTGAGATAATTTACCCCATTCTACCTTTCCCTTTCTCCTTTTCCTAGTATAATCCTCTTTCACCCCTTAATTTTAATCTCCAGATATGACCTCTTCATCTTCAACTCACCCTGTGCCCTCTATCTATCTATCTATGTATCTATCTATCCATCCATCTATCCATCTATCTATCCATATATATATATATATATATATATATACACATACATATAATTTTTTCCCTCCAACTACCCTAATATTGACAAAGGTCTCATGAGTTACAAATATCATCTTTCCATGCAGGAATGTAAACAGTTCGACCTTAATAAGTCTCTTATGATTTCTCTTTCCTGTTTACCTCTTCATGTTCCACTTGAGTCTTGTATTGGAAAGTCAAATTTTCTATTCAGCTCTGGTCTTTTCATCAAGAATGCTTGAAAGTCCTCTATTTCACTGAATGACCATTTTATACTCAGTTTTGCTGGGTAGGTGATTCTTGGTTGTAATCCTATCTCCTTTGCCCTCTGGAATATTATACTCTATGCCCTGCGGTCCCTTAATGTAGAAGCAGCTAAATCTTGTGTTATCCTGATTGTGTTTCCACAATACTTGAATTGTTTCTTTCTGGCTACTTGTAATATTTTCTCCTTGACCTGGGAACTCTGGAATTTGGCTACAATATTCCTAGGAGTTTTCCTTTGGGGATCTCTTTCAGGAGGAGATCGGTGGATTCTTTCCATTTCTATTTTGCCCTCTGGTTCTAAAATATCAGGGCAGTTTTCCTTGATAATTTCTTGAAAGATGATGTCTAGGCTTTTTTTTTTTTATCATGGCTTTCAGATAGTCCAATAATTTTTAAATTCTCTCTCCTGGATCTCTTTTCCAGGTCAGTTGTTTTTTCCAATGAGATATTTCACATTGTTTTCTAATTTTTCATTCTTTTGGATTTGTTTTACATTGTCTTGATTTCTCATAAAGTCACTAGCTTCCAATTGCTCTATTCTAATTTTTAAGGAAGTATTTTCTTCAGTAATCTTTTGGACTTCCTTTTCCATTTGTCCAGTTTTGCTCTTTAGGGCATTCTTTTCTTCATTGGCTTTTTGGACCTCTTTTTCCATTTGGGTTAGGCTATTTTTTAAGGTGTTACTTTCTTCAGTATTTTTTGGGTCTCCTTTAGCAAGCTGTTAACTTGCTTTTCATGATTTTCTTGCATCACTCTTATTTCTCTTCCCAGTTTTTCCTCTCCTTCTCTTACTTGCTTCTCAAAATCCCTTTTGAGGTCTTCCAAGGCCTGGGACTGATTCTTATTTTTCTTGGGGGCTTTGGATGTAGGAGCTTTGACTTTGTTTTCTTCTTCTGGTTGTATGTTTTGATCTTCTTTGTCACCAAAGTAAGATAATATAGTCTGACTCTTTTTGTGCTGCTTACTCATGATCCCAACCAATTACTTGAGTTTTAAACTCTTTGTTAAGGTAAGAGTCTGTTTCCAATGTGGAGAATGTACTGTCCCAAGCTTTGGGGGTTTGTACAGCTGTTTTCAGAGATACTTCCAGGGACCTGAAAAGTGTCAGTTCTTCCAAGGTGCTATGATGAAGGGTGAGGTGTTTCCTCTCCACCGCTACAACAAGCTCCACCACGCCCGCGCTCCTCCTCACCCCAGGACTGCCGCTCAGAACTGTGACCCAGATCCAAGCACAGGTAAAGCAAGAGATTCCTGCCTCAGCACTGGCAAAGAGATCCTTGCAATCCCACTCTGATCAGCCACTGGATTCCCCCTCAGTCTGTGGTCCAGAAGCTCAGAAGCCAGCCACTGCCCTCGGGGCGGCTGAGATCTTGCTTCTTCTCTCATCGCAGTAACAGACTTTTCCCACTGACCTTCTAAGCTGTCTTTGGTGTCTGTGGGTTGAGAAGTCTGGAAACTGCCACAGCTGCCTGCGATTCAGTCGTCTGAGCCCTGCTCCAGGTTGGCTGCCACCTGCACGCCTACGCCGAACTGCGCTCCTCTCCCAGCCTGGCGCGATATACCTTTCCGATCAGCCATCCAGGTTGTCTTGGGCTGGAAATTTGTTTTACTCTGTTTTTTTTTTTGTGGGTTCTGCTGCTTTAGAATTTGTTTAGAGCCATTTTTGTAGGTATTTGGAGGGGTTTGGGGGAGAGCTCTAGCAAGTCATTGCTTTCCCTCCGCCATCTGGGCTCCACCCCAGTTGTTCCATACACTTTTCTTATTGGACCCTGCCACACCTGAATATTCAGCCTAATTTATCAGCCCTTGTTGCCACTGTCCAAAGAAGTGTCTCTAAAAGAATTTAAGTTCTTCAAATAGTCCCCTGTGTATTCACATTGGTCTCTTTAGACAAGTATCCCTTTTTTATTGATTGGAATTTTTTGTCACCTTCAGGATTTGACTTTGAACACTTCCCTTCCCTCCTAGTTTAACTTCATATTTCTTCTTTTATGTCCTGATGATTAACTGTTAGAATTCTCATCACGACTTCTACTTCTTTTATGTCTCTTTGAGAGTGGGTGGTTGAAGAACGGGCATCTGATCTGGCATTAGTTCCTGAGAAGGGAAGAGGACATTCTCTTCCATTGTTATCCTTCTCTTTGCAGTCTTCCTTCTCCTTTGCTTTGATCCCCATGACTTTTGGTTCCAGTGACCAAAACTCAGTAAAGTATTATTAGTAGTGCAGTTTTGTAGCTTTTGTGGATTGACCTGAGAACCTAATCACCATTTATAACAACGCTGTTTCAAGGTGGAATGCTTCATGACTTGCCCGTGACTGATTATCATTCATCTCTAAGATACTGTTTGCTCTAGTCAGGGATAAACCTGAGTGATGGGAAGGTCGTCTGATTATATCCTCCCACACGCAAACAGGAAAATTCAGCTCACAATCTAAAATAGGAAGCAGTGATGTGGACTAATGACACTAAACAAATGAACAGGTAAAGTTTTCAAGAAAGGCTGAATTGGCATATACAGAGAATAAAGTAAAAACGAGAAGTTGGGTGATTTCAGTTATGAAAGATCTGTGATAACACTGGTATAGCTATTCCTTCTCCAGTGCAAATCACAACCCCTCCTCACCTTAGTGGACAATCATCATGAACTGACTGTGATCAAATACGTTCATTACCAGTGGCTAAAATTCTGGTGATGAGCCTTTCTGGGGGGATTCATACTCAAATCCTTTGCAGCTCCCTAGGAGCTGTTATTTAGAGTCTGTTTCTGTTAGCACAGCCATTGAGCAGCTAATGTGACCTTCGCACTGCATTGAGTAGGATTTAAATGGAGAAATTATTGTACATACTGGAGTTAAATCTAATGTGTTGAAATGTAGCACCAAAAATGTTCTGGGAAGAAAATAGGTTCTCTACTAAACATTTAGAAAGAAAGGAGGATCTATATATTTTCTGTATTTCTTTATACAATTTCCAGCTCTTCATATGACATATACGTAAATGGGCAGTTTGTAAATATCATTAAAAGGGACTGACAATTATTTCATCATTATCTCCAGTGTCATAATAAAATGTGATGCATGAATACAATGTAATGTTAAAAACCACATCTTTGAATGTTGTGTACATCTAGAATTTTAAATAAAGGTGTGCCTCAGTTCATGTGTCCCCAAAAAGACTGAATGTTAATTGAACTCTTGTAATTGAATCATATTTTATATACAATTGGATAGATCACCAAATGGATGCTATCATAAAGAAGTTTGCAACGTGTTGAATCATTTCTGTTATGTGATCATGTTGTTGTTCAGTCATTTTTTCAGTTGTGTCTGATTCTTCATGACCCTATTTGGGGTTTTCTTGGCAAAGATGCTGGAGTGGTTTACCATTTCTTTCTCCAGCTCATTTTACAGATGAGGAAACTGAGGCAAACAGGGTTAACTGACTTGCCCAGGATCACACATCTAGTAAGTGTCTGAGGCCACATGTGAACCAGGAAGATGAGTCTTTTTGACACCAGGCCTGGCACTCTATCCATCATACCACTTAGCTTCCCATTATGATTAGAAATGCATTTGGAGATATGGAAGTTCAAACATATGCATAGTTTCCTTCAAAGGGTATATCAATGTGTTTATTTTATTACTCTTATTCCTACAAAGGAGTAGAACTCTTAGTATACTCACTTAAGGTGACTGCTGATTATAAATGTTAACTAATAATCCTGAGCTTGTTAGATCATGTATTTTAAAATTAAAGCAAATTGCTAAAATGATCAGTTCTAAGTTTTGGTTTAAAAATTTTTAGATTTCATTGCTTAGTGGTAAAAATTACTTGTAAATGATCTTTCTATTTTTAATGTAGAAGGGAATAATTTTGCAATTCTATGTTTAAGTGAAATTCTTAAGCACATTTTGGTGTGACGGTTACCCATTTTTAAATTTTTTCTTAATATTCAGAATCAACATCAGCCAGCTATTTTGAATACAACTGATATCCAGAAAATTGCAGAAGGCACAAATATTTCTGAAATGTGGCAGAATGACTTAAAACCACTACTTATAGAGAGATATCCAGGATCACCAGGAAGTTATGCTGCTCGTCAGGTAAGAATTTCTAGGAATATTTTATGCTAAATAAATGATACAGATTTTTAAAGCCAATTTGGAATCTTGTTCTAATAGTAAGAAATATTTGGGCTAATGTCTAAATTGTCTAATGTTTGTATTATCTAAATTTTTTCAACAATCACCAAAATGATTCAGCTAAGTGCCAAAACATGCAATGATCTATTCTGAAAATTTGTTTTGTAAATGGGGAACATTTAGCATTACAGTTCTATTTGTCAACAAAAGCCATAGTAATACATTTGGAAATGCTGAATTGGTGATATCATGGTCAACATTAGCAACTGAATTAGCTGGCTAATCTTAATTTTAGCCTTTGTCTGATGTGTAGACTATTCATTTACATTAACAAGAATGCCGAGACTGCTTTGGGAAGGTCCCATTTTAGTTGAATTTCCTGTAGAAGATTTATAAGAGGACTTAATTAAGGATCATATAGGATCACGAAGACCTCTCCATGTGGATTGTATGTAATCTGTACTGCTGGACAGAGTTCCCACATTGATGGCATCACAAACATATTAATATAGCGTATATATAGAAGATTAAATTTTAAAATGGTAATGTTTTGGAAATTCAGTTACTGTACTAGACTCTTTTCTTATGCTTGACTTAAATTTCAGCGATTTTTCAAAATCTGGAAATCATTTAACTAAAGTTGCTCTCTACAAAGTTACCAGTGATTTTTTAAAAATTTGCTTAATTGAATAGCCTTTTCTCAATATGCTTCCTTCTTTACCACTCTGCAAATTTTGACACAGTTGATCACCTTCTTCTCCATAATGCTCTCTTCTCTTACATCTTTTTGTGACACTTCTCATTCCTGGTTCTCTTTCCACCTGTCTGATCATTCCTCACATTCTCTGAATGATCTTCATCTAGGTTGACGTAGGCAAACTGTGGCCAAAGGGCCATCTCCTGATGCCTATTTTTGTATGGCCTGCAAGCTTAGGATGATCTTTACATTTTAAGATACTCCCACCAAAAAAACTTTATTTAAAAGTCAAAAAAACATTTTTAGTTCATGGGTCACACAAAAAATAGGTGATGGGCTAGATTGGCCCAATGGCTGCACTTTACCATATTTTGCTGATCCCTGGTCTAGGTCATGCTCACAGACCATGGATATCCCCTAAGGTTCTGTCCCAATTCTTCTTCTTTCCTCCCCCTATACTATCTCATTTTATGATCTCATAAGCTCCTATGGATTAAATGATCATTTCTGTGCAGGTAATTTTCAGATCTCTTTGTCCATCCCTAATCTCTCATTTCTCATATTAAATTTCCTACAGACATATCAACTTGGATGTCACATAGACATCTACATGGCCTGGCCTCTTCCTACCATTACAGTTTTCTTATGCCTTACTGTCTTCCACACACACTTTGATCCAGTGACACTGACCTCCTTGCTGTTCCTCACACAAGACACTCCATCTCCTTACTCCATGCATTTTCACTGGCTTGTCCTCCATTCCTAAAATGCCCTTCCTCCTCTTTTCTTCCTCTTGACTCTCTTGTTGTTGTTGTTGTGGTTCAATTGTTTCAGTCATTTCCAACTCTTCATGACCCCATTTGGGGTTTTTTTGGGGGCAAAGATACTAGAGTGGTTTGCCATTTTCTTCTCCAACTCATTTTACAGTTTAGGAAACTGAAGCAAACAGGGTTAAGTGAGTTGCCCAGGGTCCCATAGCTAGTAAGTATCTGAGGCCGAATTTGAACTCAGGAATATGAATCTTTCTGACCCCAGGCTCAGTGCTGTATCTACTGTGCCACCTTACTGCCCCTTGGCTACTCTAGCTTTCTTCAAATCTCAGCTAAAATCCCACCTTTGACAGGATGATTTTCTCAGGTCCTCTTAATGCTAATGTCTTCCCTCTGAGATTATTTCCAACTTGTCCTCCATGTATCTTGAATGTGCATAATTGTATGCATGTTTTCCCCCCAATTATACTATGACATCCTAGAGAATAGAGGGATTGTTTTTGTGTCCCAGTACTTAGCACAGTGCCTGGCATATCTTTGGCACTTAACAAATACTTATGGCCTTATTTGTGTATAAATACTATAGAATCTTATTAATAAACTTAAATATCTAAGTCCAAATGTTGAAAAGATACTTTCAAGCTATAACACTGTAAAGAAACCCTTCATTGTTTTCTTTTCTATAGATTTAGGGTGATTCTAAAATAAAGTCTGTAGTTCTTACTGCCCAAAGAGTCCTCCTTTTTACTGTGAGGAGTCCAGAACAGTATGGCTGCTTCAGGCTTTACATTATCTATCTATATGGTAAGGGTATAGTGGCAGCTATTTCCCTATTCAAGGGATTCTAGTGACAGGTGATCAGCTTCTCTATCCTACTGCAGAGAACAGCACCTGAAACTCACCAGATGAGTCTTTACTAGAAAAACATCAGATCAGGAGAAAAAAACAACAACTACCCTTCAGCTAATAGACTTGGTGGACAATTTGATTCTTTCTATAGAAACTAGATATTTAGATAGCTTTAAATAGTAACTAAAAAGGGTCAATTCAGTGAATCCTGATAAGCCTTTTGCTACTGTTCTTTGATTTTAGTATCTTCATAGCTTTTAAAAGTCTTTACTGAAAACCTATTTCCCAGCTAAGGAGTGAATTTGCAACATTATAACTACAGTTGTGCCATGCTATCAGAAATCCCGTTTTCCATCCTAGCGTGTTTTGTGAAAGACATTCAGGCTGCCATTGTTAACGAAGACAATTTCTCGAGTAATACACCATCTGTCTACCAGATGTTCTTCATGATACACACTTTCTTTAAATAAAGATAGCCATTTACATGGAGCACTGAGAGGGATACAAGGAATTGTAAGTCATGATTGCTGCTCTCAGGGACCTTGTTAACATTTTTAAAATATGAGACTAGGCAAAGGCTTATAGGGGTTAGGCTAGAGCCTGAGCTGAGTCAAGGCATTTGTATCCTGTCGTTAAGGCTTAAAATTGTTCTTCCCATGTCTTATTGTTCACGGGAAACTTTGAGCCTTCTTGGTAATACACTGGATGACTTGTTAAAAAACTTTAATATGTACATATTGAGAATAAAATTTTTCTGACGTTAAAGTATGTCTTTTTTTTTTTTTTAAGAGAAGCATCATGATATAGTAGATGTAGAACTACCCTCAAAGTCAGGAAGAACTGGGTTTGAATCCTACCTGCACACATCGAGGCTGTATCTATTATGTACATGCTTCTTTGCATATTGTCACCCCCTGAGAATATGAGCTTCTTGTGTTTTTATCTTTATTTGTATGCCTAAGGCTCAGCATGGTTCCCGGCACAGAACAGGTGCTTAATTAATGCTTCTTGGATGACTGACTGGCTATGTGATCACAGGCAGAGTCACTACCACTCAGAACTCAAGGCAACTCTCTAAGATTCTAAAATACAGAGAAGGTGCTGATCTGAATTGGTGGAGGGAGTTTTTTCTTTACCTTTTGAGTTCCTTGTACAATGAAATCACAAGTCTATTCCCTCTCCCTATCTATTTTTTTAAAAAAGTAGTTTTATAAAGGATTCTTTTTGATTGTGCTCCTCTGCATATTTTGCCTTAGACAGCAACTGACTTCGCCTTTCCCATAGTCTTGTATCTGATTCCTGTATACGTGGTTCCGGATGGACCACACATCTTACATGACCTAAAACGTTAGTGAGCTACACAGATCTCAAATGTATAAGCCATGGACCTAGAAACACAGCACCATAAAGTGTTGACATGTGAAGAACCTTAGAAAGCATCTAATTTGATTATTCATTTAATAATTAAATCAATCCCTTCATTTACAGATGAGGAAACCAAGGCCCAAAGAAATTCAATGATTTGCCACGTCATACTGCATGTTACCGGCCAGACTAAAATCAGACCACAGACCCTTGACTCTTGGTGCAGTTCTTACTTCATTGTATCACATAGTGCCTTGCCCTCCCTTCTCCCCCAGTCCTTGCTATTTTTTCTTCTTTGAAAAATTTCCCATTCTATCTCAATTGCTACAAATTAAGGGAATCACTTTGTCAGTTACCTCCCAAATAATGGGCATCATTGTCAACAAATATTCATTAAAAATTGCTATATGCAGTACACTGTGCTCAGTACTAGAGATACAAGAGGTATTAGAGAGAGTGCCTGCTGTCAGAATTTAGTTTGTCTCCAGACAGAGAGCACATATGTTATAGAAAGACATTAGAAAGTCAGGGTACACGTAACTTCTTAAATGTTTCTTCTTGGCTTCCTAAAGTGTAAAACATTAAAACACTTTGCAGCTGAAAACTATGTCTATCTAGACCAGAGGCACTCATTTCTCTCTCTCTCTTTTTTTTTCTAGCACATCATGCAGAGAATTCACAGACTCCAAGCCAACTGGAACTTAGAAGTGGATACATTCTTGAGTTACACACCCTATGGATACCGGACTTTTTCCAATATCATCAGCACCCTTGACCCCAATGCCAAACGCCGCTTGGTACTTGCTTGCCACTATGACTCTAAGTACTTTCCACAGTGGGACAGCGGAATATTTGTGGGAGCCACCGATTCAGCAGTACCCTGTGCGATGTTGCTGGAGCTGGCCCGGGCCTTGGACAATCAACTCCTTTCCCTGAAGGTATTTGTTTTCCTCTTGTTGATTTAAGTGAACAGCTAGCTTACCAGCTGCTCAGAATGAATTCTAGAGTCCTAGGAGATTAAAACGGGCATTCAGAAACAGTCTTCAGGTACATTTCGTACTTTTAAAAAATGACGTTATAACATGAAATGCTGTTGAAAAAATATTAATTTGAAGATTATATCCTTTGAGGCACTTTCTGCTGTGAATAGATTCATCTAATTTTCAGATGTGGGGGGCGTTAATCACTTTTACATTGTTCAGATTTATTTGCTAGGTGAATTAAATCCAAAAAAAAATTTAAGGAACACAATCAAATGAGGTGGGTTGAAATGGGTATAACTCAGAAAAATATGTTCATTTCATGTTGTTTACATAGCTATTTTATTTATCACAAACTTTTGATCTGAGAGGTGGAAGCTTTTGAGTGCAGCTCCTAAGTTATATCATTGGTAAAGCACTTTTAGACTTAATCTAGATGGAAAACATGAAGCAAAAGTATGGCATTGTTATTATCTGTGAAATCTTAGCTCAATTATGGGTAGTATAGCAGAGCTTTTGTTACACTCTCAGCTCAAAGTACCCAAGGGGCTCTCAAAAGTGATTTCTGTCTCTGTGTTCTTAAGAGCATATTGAAAAAATAAAATGTGCTAGAGTGAATGAAGGTATTTTATTCCAATATCACTTATAACCAAAGTAAACAAAACAAAGTGAAAAAAAAGTCTAACTTTGTTCACAGGTAATAAATAGCCTGTTTTCTTGAAACTTGAGGGAGAATGCTGCTATTAGCTTAATGGGGAAAGGAGGTTAAAAAAACTTATCATGTAATAGAAGCAATAAAGACATTTAGCTCTCTTTTATTGGATATACTACACTTGAAAAAAACACAAAACGTTTGTAGATTGTTCACTTTTCTTCATTTCTTTTTGAGTTGTTTTTGGCTTTTTCTTTAGTCTAGTTGCAGTCTCATTCTCTTGTTTGCCCAAATTAATAGCATGGTTTATTTTTTCACTTTAGTAGGACCTAAGTGAGTAGTTTTGGGGCTATGTAGTATATTTTCATTTTTATCATTACATTTTGACCAATAGGGACCTGAAAGAGGAACTTGAAAACTCATCCACATTGGGTTATGCATCTATCTTAAAAGGGGCAGGGTTTTGTCTGGTACTTAGTTAGATCTGATTCATTATACTTTAGATCTAGTGAAAATCTGTTTTCTGATGACCAAACATGGGAGGGGCTTCAAAAACCTTTAAAATCTCATCCATAGAGTCATAATATCACCAAGGTAAAGCCTCTGTGAGCCAATGGAAAGAATGCTAGCTACCGAGTCAGAAAACCTAAGTTTCAATTTTGTCTATGCTACTTCTTAAGTCTGTGCTACTCCTTGAGACTTTGAACAAGTCATTTAATGTCTTGGGGCCTCAGTTCCTCATCTGTAAAATGAGAGGTTTGGACTAGATATCTCCTGAAGTGTCTTCTGGTTCTAAAGCTGCTATGCTGTTACTCATCCTCGTGTGGTGTGATAAGCAGGATTATTGGAAGCTATGCAAGTCAGAATGTGAACTGTGGCATGTTTGACCCTACTGGAAAGACACTGGATAAAGTACTAGAAACAGATCAAATCTTCTTTCTGAGGAGCAAATGAATTGGGTGTGGAACAGCTCATTACTAGAAGATTGGCTACTAGGTGATAGATTCTTTGGTCATGGCAATCTATGAAACTAAGTAAACTAAGTAAAAAATTTTAAATGGTCTGTCTGTTGCAACCCCATCCTGCTTCTGCAGAGATGATGGAAAACAGAAGAGTAGTGAATGTTAAGAGTCATCCAGTATTTAGACTGTTACCAGTAACTTAACTCTTAAAGATAGACCAAATTTGAGGTCTTTGTCCAAAAATCAGTCCAATGATCTTTGTCCAATCAATATACTATTGTATATCTTAAGGACAACTCAAACTCAGCAAGTCCAAAATTGAACTTGGTATCTTTCCCCCAAAACCTACCCCTCTTTTGAACTTCCCTATTTCTATCAAAGGCATCATTTTTCTCTCCATCAGAGTCAATAAACATTTATTAAGTGCTTACTGTCTGTCAGTGCTAATTACTCAGGATGTGTATTTTTTTAAAAAAGGCTTACGACAGTCTCTGGCCTCAAGGAATTCACAATCTAATCAGGGAGACAACACATAAAAAAAGCAGAAAAACAAGAGGTGGGAGAGGTTACCTTCTAGGGGACATGATAAAGTCATGAAGTTGAAGTGGGACATGATCTGAGGAGGTATGAGTTTCTGAGTTGTTTCAGCTTGCAGAATAATGAATTTCTGGAGTTATGAAGTCCATGAAGTAGCTGGGTAGGAAATGAGGAGAAGAATTCCCTGGGTACCATCCTTAAATGGAGGACAATCAGGGAAAAACTCCCCGATATCTGCCTCCCGTCCTCTCCCATCAGATGGATGTACTGAGTACTGAGGAGGTATGAGTTTCCGAGCTAATTTCCTCTTGTGGGATGATGAGTTTCTGGAGATGAGGTTTATCTCGGTGTCATCAACAACTTCTTAGTTTCATAGTTTTAGCAAAGTACCTGGCACGTAATAAGGGCTTAGTAAATGCTTCTTTATTTGATGCACTCCACAAAACCCCAGAAAATCAGTGGTCGTGTCTTGTTGCTACCACCACAAATCTCTCATTTCCTTCCTCTTTCTCCATTCACACAGCCACTACCCTAGATCAGATCCTCATTTCTTGCTTAAACTATTGTAATAATCTTCTAATTTGTCTCCCTCCCTCAAGTGTCTCCTCTCTCCAATTCATCCTTCACACAGGTGTCAAATTGTTTTTACAAAAATGCGAAATCGACCATGTCACTCCCTTACTTAATAAACAGGAGTGATTCCTTATTACCTCCGGGGTGAAAAAAAACTACTCTTTATATGATAAAGAGTCTACGAAAAGACTTTCGCCATTTGTCCCCATCTAGCCTTTATAGATATTATGCATTGCTTTCCTCCATGTACACTGTGATTCGGATAAACTGTCCTTCTTGCTGTCCCTTATAATGAATTTCTACCTCCTATTTCCATGCCTTTGCACCGGGTATTCACCATACCTAGAATGCCCTTCATTGTCATCTCCCTTTCTCAGAATCCAATCCCTAGTGTCCTTCTAGGGTCAACTCAAGAGCTGCCTTCTACATGAGACTTCTCTTGATTCTTCCTTCCTTCACCCCTTGCTGCTTGCTAGTGCTCCATTCCATCCCATTTTACCTATTTTGGGGGATCAATTATGTATATACCTATAGATCTACATATCTGTCCTGGCCAGATTATATACTCCATGAGGGCCAGGGTTGTTTTTACTTCTGTCTTAGTGCCTTACACGTAGTAAGTGATTAATAAATGCTCATTGTTTTATTACTTGATATTAGAATAATTGAACCACATTAATACTGATATTCTAATAATAATGGAAACCAGATAGCAAAAAGTTGTTGAATGAAATGAAAAGATAGTTTATAGGTTCTTCTTGGGGAAGCATACTAAGGTGTTGGTAGATTTGATTTCACTGTGTGTCCAAAGATAGTTGGGACAATAAATCCTCTTATCTTGTGGTACTCCTGATGAGCCTAAGCTAAAAGTTAATTGTAGTGTTTATACCAACATTTGCTGTAGAAAATGAAAATATAGAGAAATCCTTTGAATAACTTGGCAAGATTCTTCAAACCAAATCAATATATGCTTTTACCAGTGACTTTATTGTGGAGGTGGGTACAGGGGAAGATGATGATATCATGTTGGAAAATATGACTCAAGATTAGGAGATATAATAGACTAAAAGCTTCAGAAGACTCATGCCTCTGTGTCTGGAATACTGCACTCAAAAAGAGGAATGGAAGGTCCTGGACATGATGAGCACTAAACAACATCATAAAATAATGAATTGGCTATGCCTCAACAGATAGGAAATGAGTAGTTACTAATGTGGGAGTCATGTTAGAATCAGATGTTGACAGGTGGTCAAATTATTGACTGGTTAGATAAAGGTTAAAAGAAGATCATATTAAAAGAAAGGTTAATGATGAGAAGACATGGTGTGCAATTGCAATAATTTCAACCTGCCCTCATCAAGCAAGCCACCAGTGACAAAAGAAGGGCAATGAAGAAAACATATATATTGACTCAGATGATCACTATTTCCTGTGAAAATTGAAACCACATAAAGAAATTGTCATAATGAGGAGGCCAAAAGAGCATAATAGAAGCCATTCTGTCTAGCCAATAATTGCTGTCCTTGTAAAGAGGAGAGAAGAGGAGAGAGAGAGAGAGAGAGAGAGAGAGAAAAGGAGGAAAGGAAAAGAGAGGAGAGGGAAGGGAAGGGGAGGGGAAGAGAAGAAGCAGCTATGGGAAATGCCAATTTAGAATACAAATTCATATAAAAGACTGTGCAAGAAGATAAATAAAGACTGCAAGTAGTATTGCCTCATAAAATGTCAAAAGGCACTGGAACCACAAGCAACCTTATGGCAAAATTGGCATGAAACCCAACTAAGCCATGTTATCCCAAGAACATTAATGGATGGATTAATGGGAACAGAACATGAATATAAAATGAAGCTAGTCTGTCAGCGTTTCTATAATAACCAATTTTTATAATCAATTTAGACTCTAATACCTATATACTTGATATGCTGTATGAAGAAATGGAGATAGCATGTAAGAAGTTGGGAAGACTTGCTGGACCAGACCAAGAACACACTAAAGAATATGTACTAGAGGCAACACAATTTTGAAGTTGTCAAGGGATTGTTTTTTCACAAGATTGTTTAGGGAGGGATAGATACCAAAGGAATGAAGAAAGGGATCACAGCCTATATTTTTATTTTTAAAAAGGCGATAGAGAGGATGTCAACAATTACTGATCTACACGCCTCCTTTCTTATCATTACATGATGCAGCACAGTGCCTGACACACATAATAGACACTTAATGATTGGTTGATGACTTGACTTGACTTTATATAATCTTTATAGGTATCTTTTTATGAAAGTGAAGCAGCAGTCTTGAATGATTTTCTGCAATAGACCCATATTTATAGTCACAAAATTGCCCAAAAGGTGCATGAAATATAAAATCCCTCTGTGATTATTGTTTGTTAATTTAAAAAAAATAAACCAAATACAGCAAAATGTACTGGGATCATCGAAGGCCTCTTGGTAAATACAACAGCAGAGATACTCTGGTTTGATGACCCTCTGATTATTAACATCAAGAGAGGCATGAAAGAGGGAGGCATATGTTTGCCAAATGCATTTGTTGTTGTCGTGCAGGAAGTCCTGTTGAGAGTCCAAATGAGAGATTCCTTGTAGATGATGACATCTTCCAAATGCCCTTGCTAGTACAGGATAGTGTATTGACTATATCAAGTCCCAGAAAAGGTCATCTAATCCAACTTTAATTGCCTATCAAACTAGGTAACTTGCCAAAGGTCAGACAGTAAGTAACAGAGCTGAAATTCTAATTTAAGTTCTCTGATTCTAGATTCAACACTCTCCAGTGTACCTTTCTGCCTCCCCAAATGTAATACAAATGCATTACATTGTAAAGTGATACAAATGTATTATATTAATGTAATACAAGTGGCTCAAAGTTCAATAGAAAGTTTCCTTCTAGAGTATAGGCATAAAGACAGATGTGTCATGGTGGGAATGAGCAGCATTCTACTTGTAATTCTTCTATAACCAGTGAGTAGGTAGTGCTGGGGAGAAAGATGAAACATGATAGCCCGCAAGTAGGGGTCTTCTGCTGGAAATCATGCAGGAGAAATATGAGAAGAGGAGATTGAGGTGCAGTTTCCAAAGCCATACATAATCTGGCATAGATAATCCAGAATTTCTAATGAAGTGAGCAAAACAGAGTCCCACAAACGTGGAGGATTTGGAAATAGGTCACAGTGAGCTCATAGTAAATCTTGGTAGATAAAGCAGGACGTAGGGTTTGATTTAATATGCTTTTCTTCAGTGCCTGCTCACAAATGAGTGCGTGACTTAAGGTACCCTAGATGAGCATGTAAAATGATTCCAGTGAATACTGGAGGTAGGTGGTCTATCTCTTAGTGAAAAAGAGTTGGGGCCATCAGCTAACCATGAAACTAAGTTAAGTGGGTATACAGATATGAAGAGACAATAGATCTAGAATAGTCAATGAAGAGAATTTTTTAGGAATCAACAAAAAAATGAATAAAAGAAATAACAAATAGCAGCATGAGCTCAGTTGAAATTGGGCAATGCATATTTACCATAAATCAACTCTGAACAGTTTTCTTCTTTCTTCAGAAGTTGTCTATAGCCTAGGAGCAGCAGTGGAGAAAGGTAATAATGGAAATGATCCAAAGTTAACAATGGTGGGCATAGTGAGCTATTGGAGGGTATGGGAGACTAGGATGGTGATAAAAGCTGCATTGGAATAGTAGGGTAAAAGAGTATAAAAAGTATAGCCAGGACATGGCTAATGAACTGAAAAGAATGAGATTGGATGGTTGGTGATCCAAACCAAGAGAGAGTGTCAGGTTCAGAGATCTCAAGGGTGATGATAAGGTCTAATGATGATAAGGCTTTGCTGGTTCATGGCTAATATGGAATAAAGATGAAGATTGACAGAATCAAGAAGGATAAAGAACCAATGGGTCACAACATCAGTTGGAGGAAATCAATATGGGGAGTTAAGTCATGATAGTGGGAAATAGGACAGAAATATAAAACAGAAGTCAGATGTTGAAATGATCCCTGGTGGACCATAGAAAATGAATAATAATTTGAGCAGGATAGTTGTAGATGAATAACATAGATTTCAAATAATGAGAAGCAGAGGACAGGATTTTAAAAGTCTGGAAAGGACACTGAAGAGTAAGGGGAAAAGTCAATTCACTTTTCTGACATCCATTGATTAGGAACAAGTTATAGGATGGAGGATTGTTGGTAGAAGGTAGTGGGGGATGTGGTATTATCAGGTAATAGCTGGATTTTTGTTAGTGAGTAGATGTAAAGGTGAATAAGGAATGTAATAAGAATTTATTAAGAGTTTACCATGTGCTAGGCATGTGCTGTGGGTTACAAATATTATCTCATTTTTTCCTTACTTACAAGAACTTTATAGAGTAGACACTATTATGATTCCCATTTTACAGTTGAGAAAACTGAAACATACAGAGATTAAGTAGTTTGTTCAGACAGCTAATAGTTTCTGAGACCAGATGTGAACACGGATCTTCCTGACTCTAAGACCAAGTAAATGACAAATAAGTTCTAATGTATTTCTTTACTTTTCTTAAAAAATTTTGTTACTTGTTGCTTATTTGCTATATACATAATATATGTATGTCTACATATATGTGTATATGTATACACCCACAGTATAAAGTACATGTATATTTTATAGATATATATACATGAATTCAGTTCAATTAAGCATAGTGTTTTACACATAGTAGGAACTTAATGGTGCTTGACAATTGAAATTAATTTAATGTTGAATTGAACTGAATTCATGTATATGTATCTATAATAATATACATATACTTTATGCTCCTACCTCTGATAGGAGGAAGGGGAGGGATACTAGAGAAAACTATTATGGTATGGGAAACTAAGACATCAATAAAAAACTTAATAAAAATAAAAGAAAGAGTAGACAATGCCTTTTCTAAATAACTTATTATTAAAGTCAAGATCATGAAGGCAGAGAAATGAAGCTAGTATAAGAATAATGGACATAGGAAAGAGGGGAATGATTAAAGGACAGCACAGAACATTGAGGGTGAAGGGCAGGTGCAGTATGAATGAAGTAGTGAGAGAGGTGGAAAGGCAAGAGTTTTGATAAAAGAGGGAAATTTCAGAATTCTGCGTTTTGAAGGTAGAGCAGTTTCAAGTGATAGTTTAAGGAAGTTATCCAGGTACTGAAGTCACTGGGATATGTGGTACAGGGGAGAAGGATTTTTACCTAGGTAGGAATTGGTCCAGATTGAATTTTAGAACAGGGGTTCTAAACCTAGAATCCATGGTCTGTGAACTCAGAAGGGAGAAAAAAATTACATCTTTACTTCCACTAAACTCTAACTGAAATTTGGCATTTCCAAATATAAATTTAAAAAATTTATTCTGAGAAAGTATCTATAGTCTTTATCAGACTGCCCAAAGGGTCTATGATATAAAAAAAGGTTAAAATTCCTGGTTTAGAGGTTGGGATTTGTTAGCCATAGGACAAAAGGAATAACAGATAGACAGACACTTACAGAATGAAAAGATCCCAAATTCCTAAGGGACAGTAATCTAAGGGAAAATATTCCAAAGGGCAGTAATCTCCAAACTACTTACTGCTACAGAAGCCCATCATTTTAGCACTGATATTATTTCAGTGATGTGATATGACTGAGAATCACGAAGACTAGGTTCTCAGAGGAATCAAAATTACAAGTTATCCAAAAGCTGTTGAATTGCAGCAATGATGACATCTGCAAGAATCTGTGTATGTAACATTCAACACATGTGCCTGGGAGAGGAGGTCAACTGCTAACATAATTAGAATGAGAGCTGACAGAGGTGGAGCCCAAGTATGCTAGTGGTACTCTAAGGAACCAGAGGAATACCTCTAGCATGTTGGACAGATCCTATATGGAGAATTTATGGTAAAACAAGGACAAAAATTGCATAGGATGAGAGAGTGAAGCGAAGTTGGGATCTGGATTGGTGGAGGAAGGATCTATATTTGCTGGACCATAAAGTATAAATGTGTGTGTGTGTGTGTGTGTGTGTATGTGTAAGATTACATTTTCTTTTTCTTTATAGTTTTTCTTTTCAAATTTTAAAAAAAAGTCTTAGGTAGTAAAGTTATTTTTATAAATAACCTTCACTCTATTTATTTATTTATGTGTTTATTAAATCAGAACTCTTCAGCCTCCAGGCCAGATCTATCTCTCCAGCTTATTTTCTTTGATGGTGAAGAGGCTTTTCTTCACTGGTCTCCTCAGGATTCCCTCTACGGCTCTCGGCACTTAGCAGAGAAAATGGAATTTACTGCACATCCTCCCGGAGCAACAGATACAAACCAACTGCATGGCATTGTGAGTGGGGGAGATAGATGGATATATGCATGCATTCGCTTACAATATAATATATGTACCCACACATATGTACATGTGTGTATGTATATGCACCCACACATATGTACATGTGTGTATGTTTATACATCTGCATCTACATACCTATACATATATACACACATACAATTTGGAAGATACCTAGAGGTCATATAGTCTAAGACCTGGCCTAAAAAATCCTCGCTGATCTCCCTACACAGAGAAAGGGAAAATCTAGTTTTGTTCCATAGTACTCCATTCTTATTTTGCATATGAATGTAGAAGAACATATTCCCATTTCTTTTAAGATCGTCTTTAAGACTGGAGTAAATGAATTCTCTTTACTTTCAATCTAGGGCTACATGGAAGGGAATGGGAGGTATATATGTGTAGCAGTTATGGAATGTGAATGAATGAAAAATTTCTAAGGCACTTCAAAATTCTTCTGTGACCCTGACACATGCCTTGTCACTCTAGTTTCTTATCATTCCTCTTAGGGACAAGACATTCTAGTAGCAACAGTATATGGACTTCAAAGCATCTGGAACCAGGAAGGAGGAGCTGTAGGGGAAGGTGTCTGACCTCTGGACATGGCAGGCAAAGTTATTTCTGTGTTAACCTCAAAATGGGATTTCATTTTGCCATTCCAAATAAAAATAATAAGCATTTCTTCTCCACTAAATTCCTACTTTGGCATCTTACCGAGGTGTGTCTGGGGGACCCTGAATTCTCAAAGGCTAGCTATGCCAGCAGAGCACAAAAGTCTAATAGCTATTCCTCCTGGAACAGCCTAGAGTATGGGGTGAGCTACCTATGCCTGTCATCTGAGGGCCTGAGTATGTAAAGGCTTATCACCAGAAGGTTGGCCACTAGGTAATCATTTCTTTAGGCCACCAATACTCATGAAGATGCCGTATTGAAATATAGATAGGTTGCAGTTTACAAATATGTATACATATGCATATATATATATATATGACATCCTAACCTTCCAATATAAAGTGAGACATATCACCTATGCAACTGTTGATAATATATGTGTAATACATTTGTTCATTTACACCTCCTCCACCATAGGATCACCAATGATTAAAATATTGAATTCATATATGAGAACAGTCTACAACAATGATAAAACAATGGTACATTTTTTTCTTTCATAGGATTTGCTTGTATTACTGGATTTAATAGGTGCTCCAAACCCAACCTTTCCTAGTTATCTTCAAAATTCTCTTCGATGGTATAGAAGACTTCAGGCAATTGGTAAGATACTACTAGTATTGTATATTACGATGGGCCAGATTCGTACTAAACAAATTGCTACTCAGATGAATATGTGATTTTATTGACGGTGGTGTTTTCAATGACACAGATCACAAAATATCCATGTTTGTCCTTTCTGTAGGACGCTTGTCCATATGTTCCCTTAAGTTTGCTGTAGGAGTCCTACCCAATGTGATAAGAACCTTCCTTGAGTTTGCCTGACATCCAAGGGATATCAGTGGAGCATATACATTCTTCTTTTGTGACTAGGAATCTTATTTGACTTTTCTTCCCTTTTTTTATGCCATCTTCTTTTTACACCTCACTCCCTGACACACATATTCTCTGTAATCCAATGATTACAAGCCTCCTGTCTGTTCCACAAACAAAACACTCCATTTCTTGACTCTGGGCATTTTCTTTGGCTATCTCCCATGGCTGGAATCCTCTCCCTCCTTATCTCCATCTACTGGTTTTCTTTAAGTCCCAACTAAAATTACATCTTCATCATTGTATACCCGTGAAACCTGGACAGTCTACCAGTGCCATGCCAGAAAATGGAACTGCTTCCATTTGAATTGTCTTAGCAAGATTACCTGGCAAAATGAGGTACTGAACACTGAGGTCCTCTGAACTGCCAAGCATTCAAACTCTACTGCAAAGAGCACAACTCTGATAGGCAGATATTAGGCTGCCTAAATGAGGGACAGCCAGGTGGCGCAGAGGATAGAGCATTGGCCTTAGAGTCAGGAGGACCTGAGTTCAAATCCGGCCTCAGAAACATGATACTTACTAGCTGTGTGACCCTGGGCAAGTCACTTAACCCCAATTGCCTCACAAAAAGAAAGAGTAAAAGGGTCAAATCATCAAAACTTTTATGCTGATCATCAGTGGGATTAGGCCTAAGAGTGACAGCTAACACTCTCAGACTGGTATGATGGGGAGATCTAGTCTTGAAAAGAAAAAGACTACTATGAAATTCCCCAAATGCAAACCAATCATTCTTTTCATCACTTTTGCTTCTGAGATGACTGTCTTTCTGTTGTTCTTGATATCTCTGTGATGCCTCTGAAAACTCAATGGACTGGCCATCCAATAGCCTGTTATAGTTATATGTAGTTATACTATATATAGTATTTTTCATCCATTTAGTTTTTCCCATATATATTACCAATCCAATATCTTTTGAGTTATCTCTATTCTCACTGTCATCTTTCTAAGTCAGAGGCTCTTAACCTAAGATCTGTGAGGGGTCTGTGGATAGATTCTGGGAAGTCCCTGAACATGGTTAGGAAACATAATTACATCTTTATTTTAATATAATTGGGTTCCTTTGTAATTCTATGTATTTATTTTATGCATTTGAAAGCATTATTATAAGAAGGGGACCGTAGATGTCAGTAGACTTCCAAAGGAGGTCCATGACACAAAAAATGTTAAGAATCTCTGACCTAAGTAAAGCCCCTCATGTGGTTATTGTGGTAAGTCTGGTTATGCTATCTATTTACAATAAAGGCTTTCAGAATGATGCCAGAATTGTTGAAGAGACCCAAACCTCTTTGCTTATGAACTCACTTTAAGCTCTGAACAGATATTCCCACAGCTGCTTACCTGGTGTTTCATTTGTGAATTGCAGAAAAAAAGCTACATGAATTGGGTTTCCTTCAGGATCATTATTTGGAGACACAGTATTTCCAGGGTCGTATGTACCGAGAACAAATTCAGGATGACCATATTCCATTTTTAAGAAGAGGTAACAGATGTTTTTTATAGCATTACAAATTTTCATTTCATTCTAGGATTCAGAATAAGGAATCATGATTAGTGATTGTACATGAACTTTCTATATCAAATACAACCAAAATAAAGTCGGTGCAACCAGATATAATCATTTTTAGATGGTATTAGAAAGTATATTATGTTTAAGGAAAAGAACACAGTCCACTCTGGAGTAACCAAATGTTCTTTCTTCCTGATTATAATGTATTCAAAATTCAAATCAATATCAGAAGTTGATGAATAAAAAACGTGTAAGTATTTTAACCATACAAAGCAAGCTAACAGGATTTGAAAGACAACACAGTAAAACAACAGCAGAGAGCACAGATTTTAATAAGGATTTATTGGAATTAAACATTTTTGACTCAACTTCAGTTGCCATGTGGTGATTGATGGTTTGCCTATGTACTGAGAGGTTAGCTGCTGAAAAGGCACAGCTGGAGTCAGGCAAGAGAAAATGAGCTCAGAATGAGGGCTCCATATAAATAATGAGGGCTCCCCCTCAGCCCAATCCTTACCCATTCCAGAAGAGTGAGTGGAAAGAGGGGCCAACGTATAAATACAAGTCCATGATCATCCTGTAACTTGCCCATCTCTAGTCAATGGAGACTTCCCTATAAGGTGGGCAGTTGTTTTTTCCCCTTCAGTTCACATGGATGTCTCAGAAACCTCTCAGCTGCCTAGAATTTTCATGAAGAATTCCAGCCATCCCAGCAATAACTTTCAAACACCACAACTTCTGCTCATACACAGTGTCTTCAAAGAGGGAATTTACAATGTGTCATTTTCCAGTAAAACTTATGAGTTAATGGAAAGCTTCTGGAGAGTGTTGAGAGAGATGCCACATGTTTAGATGACAAGTCAGCATACAGCTCTGTTAGGGATGGCAAGATATAAGAACCCTTTCTATGGGGAGAGGATGCTAGAGATCCCATGTCTTAAAAGGGAGGAACTGACATTGCTTGGTCCTTCTCATGACCTGCTTGATCAGTCAGTGTATGACAGGGCTATCTCTAAGGATTTTTAAAGTGTCAGAGATAGTTCTGGATTGGGGCAACTAAGTAGTGCCATGGATAGAGCACTGGTCCTAGAGTCAGGAAGACTCATCTTCCTGAGTTCAAATCCAGCCTCAGAGACTTACTAAGTGTGTGACCCTGGGCAAGTCACTTAACTGTTTGCCTCAGTTTGCTCATCTGTAAAATGAGCTGGAGAAGGAAATGGCAAGCCACTCTATTATCTTAGTCAAGAAAACCCCAAATAGGGTCAAGGGTCAGATACAACTGAAAAACAATTGAATAACAACAATAACAATACATACATAAGGATCCCTGTGGACCAAGTATTGACTTAGTTTTAAAATATGGTGTTATCTATACTTTTTTGTATGATTATTTATTTGGTTAAATGTTTCTCAATTACATTCTAATCAAGTTCCTCATTATTGTGGGCTGCATGCAGCCTGGTCCTGTGTCTACTGTAGGTGATAGGGAACCACTGGAATTGATTGCATAGAAGTGTTATGGTTACACTAGGACTTTAGGTAGAGCAATTTGACCGCTCAGGGTCAGATGAACTAGAGCAAGGGTGGGGAACCTGTGACCTTGAGGCCACATGCTGTCCTCTAGGTCCTCAAGTGTGGCCCTTTGACTGAATCCAAACTTCACAGAACAAATCCCCTTAATAAAAGGATTTGTTCTGTAAAACTTAGACTCAGTCAAAAGGCCTCACCCAACGACCTAGAAGGCCACATGTGGGCTCGCGGCCACAGGTTCCCCACCCCTGGATTATAGCGTGAAGAGATTTGAGGCAGGGAGACCCACCAGCAGCTATTTGGTAGTCCAGGTATGAGGTGATGAGGGCATGCACCTGGGTGGTGGCAGTGTCAAGAGGAGAGAAAGGGTCATATACAAGAGAGGTTGGAAATATAGACATAATAGGACTTGGTAACTTATTGGCTATGGGGTGGGGGAAGGCTGAGAAAGGGTGAGAAGTTGAGGATAACACCTAGGTTTCAAGCTGAGTGACTGGCACAATGGCGTTAACCTCAATAGGAACAGGGAAGTTAGGAGTGTGAATTAGTTAATCTTCAAGGTCCCTTTCAACTTTGATGGTCTCTTCTTTGGTTAGAGCAAGTTCTAGGGCAGCAATAAGACAGATAAGCACAAGTCAAGGCAGATAGACCTACTAGAGGTCAGTGCACACACGGCCAGGTGAGGAGCCAGTGGGACACAAATACCAGAAGACAAGTCACAGATAGTCAGGAATTGGGAAATCCAAAGGAACTGAAGAAGCAGAAGAAACAATATAGAACACACCCGAGGCATCAGCACCAAGATCTCACCAACCAAGGCCCAGTTCTGTCTCTGGCTGGAAGCTTTTTATAAGCAAAATGCCTTGGACAAAGTAGGCACCCAGTGTGTTTAGATTGAATTGAAAAAGATGCCTGCTAGAGTAAGAACAATCACCAGGGCAGAGATAGCTCAGAACTTAGTTGAGTGCAGGTAAATGGGAGCATTTGAGGGTGAAAATGAAGCAGATTTTGACATGTGGCTCTTAGCACAAAAAATATTTCAAGTAAGAAGGACCACTGCTCTTCTTAGTTGTTTTTTTTTTCCCTGCTGTAGTGGAGAGAACATTGGAGACAGGAGACCTGGCACTAATACTTAATATCTGGTTAGCATGGACAAGTCACTGAATCTCTCTAGGCCTCAGTTTCCTTATGTGTAAAGGGGAACAATAATAATAATAATAATTCCTACTTTAGAGGAGTGTTATGAAGAAAAGGCTTTGTAGACCTTAACCTGCCCCAGAAATAGGAGCTATTACGGCTATAGTCTTTACAGTTAGCAACATCTAAGCTTTACTTTTCTCAATGATCACATGAAATTAGAGAATCATTGCTCCTAGGCATAAATTAGGTCCCATGAACACTTGTCTCTCTATCTGTCTCTCTCCACATATCACATTCTATATTATACTACAGTCATTTATGTACATGATTTATCTACTGAGGCAGCTAGGTGGCACAGAGGATAGAGCACTGGAGTTGGAATCAGAAAACCCTAAGTTAAAATCCAGCCTTAGACACTTATTAGCTCTGTGGCCCCTGAAGGAAGTCACTTAGCCTCTGTCTGTCTCAATTTCCTCATCTCTAAAATGGGGTTAATAATAACACCTACCTCCTAGGGCTGTCTTGAGGATAAAATGAGATAGTCTTTGCATAGTGTTTTGCAAACCTTTAAGTACTATATTAATGCTTACTAACTATTCTTATTACTAGTTTCTAAACTCTCTGAGGTCAGGGAGTATCTTATTGATCTGTATATTTCAGCATAGCAGAGTTCCTTGCACATAGTAGGTACTCAATCAAAATTTTCATTCAATTCTGCAAAAATAGAATGAGTAACTCTGCTGCCTTTATGTGCTTTGGTAGCTCCATTTAAAATTCTACTTGTAGTACAACAGTTCTTTAGTTTTCTCATTGCATGAAGTGCTTACTTGTTTACAAATCAATTCTTTCTTTTTAGGTGTTCCAATTCTACATCTGATACCCTTTCCTTTCCCTGATGTCTGGCACACAATGGATGACAATGAAGAAAATCTGGATAAGCCAAGTATCAACCATCTCAACAAAATCCTACAAGTCTTTGTGTCCGAGTATCTTCATTTATAATATGCACATTATGGTGAAGGGGGATTAATTACTTGCAGTGTGGTGTCAGACATTTGTGTCCACTTTTAAATTCTTACCCTAACAAAGTTCTGTATGGGCAATTCCTATAGAAACTTATTCTATAGATGGTCTTGAATATGTAGTCCTTAAAATCTACACTCTTTCTGGGTCCTAAAAGAGCCTCATTCTTTAATTTCCTCCTAGAGGCAAAGGCATAAAACATTCAAAGGAATAGCCTTAAACCTCCCCAGATACCCAACAACTGGAACAAATTAAGTGCACATATTCAGTTCCAAGGTCTCCAAACAATACTTAATGATGATGTTATGTGCAATTTGTAGAGTTAGTTTTGTGATTTTTCACACATTGAAATTAATTTCATATAAGACAAAGTAGAGATATAGTTGAAGGAACTCAAATTCTCTTTGAGAAATCATTGTGGGGTTTTGTTTCTAGGGGTGTGTATGTTTTGTGTGTGTGTGTGTGTGTGTGTGTGTGAAAATTAAAATCAGAACTAAATCCTGTGTTGTGAATTTTTTTTTTAACTGGAGAATTATATTGCACAATTTTAAGCAGTTTTGAACTATTTTTTTCCTTTTTGATCATGGAATTTAGAGCTGGGAAAGATCATCTAATCTATAGGTTCCCAAAGTGGGAGATAGCACCCCCTGGGGGGGCGCTGGAATGATCCAGGGGGGTGCTAGTAGCCTCAGGTGCAATTGGGGGGCATTGAATAAAAATAAAGAGGCAGTGAAAGCATAAGGAAAGAAGAGAAGAAAATTTTGAAAAACCATCCATACATATTTCATCTGTTGTGTAACAGAGTTGAAGTCATAGTGATTAAGTTATTTGCCAAATAAACACACAAAATGCATGCTATAACCTATCAGTGGTCAAGTCCACCCACAGGTCTTAACAAGCAAGTGCCGGCAGAGAGCATGTTGTGTGTGTTAAGAAGTCCAGCATGCATCAGCGGAAATATGTATGTGTAATGACTTATTTGCAATGTGATACTATATGGTTACATGACACCACATTGTGCCATCAAAATTTCAATGCAGGAAAAAACCCCACAAATTTATAATAAGTTATTAAATTTAAGATGTATCATTTAAAATTTTTTTTTTAATTTAAAAAAAGAACATTAAAGGGGTAAAAGAAGTAGATTTCTTAGGGGGCACTGAGTAATTTTTTTTAAAATGGGGTGGTAGACCAAGTAAGTTTGGGAACCTCTTTAGGTTCTAATTAGATTAATTAGATTCTAGTTAGATTCGAATCCATAACTTTACAGATAAGGAAACTGAAGCCCCAGGAAGGGAAATGACTTGTTCAAGGTCACACAGGCCTAGTGAGTCCAGTCCCAAACTCTTGCCTCTCCTGCATGCTGCTTCACAGATGCCAGTTGATTGAGAAGTTGTACTACTGCTTCTCAAAGGCTGGGGTCCAGAACCTGGCATCTAGGAACTCTCAGGCTGTGATGGTGAGAGCACATGGAGCTTCTAGGTGCTTCCTCCTCAAGACAGCACCAGCTCCCAAGATCCATTTTTGGTCTTAGCTCTGCTCCATTCTCAGGATCATACAAACAAGACTAATGGACAAAAAGAGTCTAATGGGTCTGGTGGCTCTCTTTTATTGGGCAGCATGAAAGAATTCTTTCTAACAGAATCCATCATATGAGAGTTCAAGCCAACTAGTTCCTTTTGAAGGCACACTGAGTCAATGAGAATGAAGCAGGAGATGTCCTGGGTCCTGTTAATCAGGTACCAACAGACATATTCCTATCTTCCAAAGGAAGATGTTCTCTAACGTTTCAAATGAAGGCTCACTTACTTGTGAGCTCATCCAGATGGTCTGGGAATTCCTTTTTTCAACCCCCTACACTTAGAGAAAGACACTTTGCAGGCAAAGTAAGTTATGCTTAGAGTCTTTAAATGGTAACTATTTTTGAGTAATTATATTTACCCAGGATTTTAAAAAACAAGTTTGCTTTTGAAGATGTATAAATGAATATCATGCTTTCATAAGACATATGGAAAGAAATGTCATAGAATTTCCTCTTTGCCATCAAAAAAAAAAAAGGAAAATACATTTTTTTGAGATAGTGGAGTACAGAGGAAAGTGTGCTGGTTGTACTGAGTTCAGACCCCATTTCTACCACTTATTACAAATCACAAACCCTCTAGGTTTTGTTTTTCTCATCTGAAAACATGTACTAAATGACCTCTCTAGGGGCAGCTAGGTGGTGCAGTGTATAAAGCATTGGCCCTGGAGTCAGGAGGGCCTGAGTTCAAATCCAGCCTCAGACACTTGACACTTACTAGCTGTGTGACCCTGAGCAAGTCACTTAATGTCGTTGCCTAGCCAAAAATAAGTAAATAAATAAATTATCTCTCTAGTCCCAGCTCACTTGTTGATTATCTCCAAACCATAAAGTTTATGTTCAGAATCCTTTTTCTACCCAAAGGAAAAGGTATTATCTTATCAGAGCAGACAAAACACAAATCAACAGAAATGATTCCAGGGCTAAAGAATCTAAGCTATGAGATAGTATTAAAGGAGGTTTACCCTTAATCCTTGTTTGAGAAGAGGAACATTTGGAATGGCTTCAATGATAACATGTTACTGTTTTTACATTTTAGAAAACCTTTAAAATAATGATATTAAAATAAAAATTGAAAGGAGATATGACAGGTAACCTAATTATCATTGCAACTTATCAAATAAAACTAAAAACGGTGGTTTGAGAAGCAAAGAAAAATTAGTAAGAGATTTACAATAATCCATTGAGTCAGGGTGAGCTGAATTATTTTTAGAAGATAAAGTTGGAGGATATGTTGAAATAGGGAAAAAGGGGAGAAATTAAGCAGCTTAGATGGTTGCTTATTCCTTTATTGTTCAAATGGCATTTCCTAAAATTTTATTCTGTAAAACTATGCAATGATGTAGAAAAAGCAAATTATAACATCCAAAATGGAGAAATGTTAAGATGGTAGCACTGATGTTAATATCTGAAATAGGCTCCATGTAATTCATGCCAGAGAGGATATTATTTTTTACTTTATAGATATAAAAGTAGTATGTTAGAAATATTGTACTGTATTTAAGAGATTTCTATGTGCATTTTTAAGCAGTGTACAGCTCAAAAGAGGACAATTTGTATATTATCTTCAAGCCTATAATAAACAGAGTCCTTTTTACGTTTCAAGGAAAATTAGTTCAAATGAAAATATTAATAAAGGAACATTTTTAGCATTGATATGGAGACCTGGCTTTGAGTCCCAGCTTTGCCTCTGGGTGACCTTAAGCAAGGTTTTTCAGTTCTCTCGAATTATGATTTTCTCATCTATAAATTGGGAACAATAATACTTGGAAGATCTACCTCCTGGGGTTGTTGCAAAGAAAGTTATTTATTAACTGTAAAGAACTATGAGGATGTAAAATAACATTATTATTGTTGCCATTGTGAGCCAGGTGGTGCAGAGGGTAGAGTGCTGGGCCTGGAGTCGGGATAACTTGAATTCAAATGTGACCTCAGATGCTAGCAATGTGACCCTGGCCAAGTCACTTAACCTCTGTTTCCTCAATTTCCTCAACTGTAAAATGGGGATAAAAAGAGCACCAATCTCCTAGAGTTGGTGTGAGGATCTGGTGAGATAATAATTATAAAGGGTTTAGCACAGTGCCTAGCACACAGTAGGGGCTGTAAACATGTTTGTTCCTCTTCCTCCATCCCTGCTCTTTCCCGTGACTGAAGAAAAAAGATAGATACTTTCCAAAAGGAGAAAAATTTAAAGTGGTGACATAGTCTCCACATCAATTAATGATAATTTTCAGCTCTTTCTCAAATACGCTAAGCAGCATCTTTTTTTTGGTTTTGTTTTGTTTTTTGTTTTTTGTTTGGCAATTGGAGTTAAGTGACTTGCCCCGGATCACAAAGCTAGTGTCTGAGGCCGGATTTGGACTCAGGTCCTCCTGACTTCAGGGCCAGTTCTCTTTCCACTGCACCACCTAGCTGCCCCTAAGCAGCATCTTTAATAGAACCTTTGGAAGTCACCACTTGTCAAGTGTGTCGCAGTGCAAAACGTTTTCAGGCATGGACTGTACTACATAAGGTCCCTTCTGGGATGTTGAGAGGTCCATTTGTATCACTTTGTGCTCTGTAGCAGAATCAGAAATGAGTCAAAGATTTGGAAAGTCCCAGGTGACCCAGCCAGAGGGGCTAATACTTCTACCTCACTGAGATTACGTAAACTGTCAGCAAATTAGTAAGTATTTGCTAAACACTTACTCTACGCTGAATACTATGTTAACCAGTGAGAAGAAAGGCAAAAATACTGCCTTCAAGGAGTTCCCATGTCTATATGTAGGGGGAAACAACATACAGACAACTACATACATGTACATATATGAATATATATTGTATATACATGTATACAATATATATTGCATATATATGTATGTATATATACAAACACACAAGATATAGACAGAGTAGTTGGAGAGCAATCTCAGAGGGAAGGCACTGTGTAAGATCGACCAAAATGATTTGGATTCAACAGGTCTTATGGGCTTGTCTGATTTTGTTTACCATTCTCCCTCATACCACATTGCTAGGGGCTCCTACTGAGAGTGCTTCTGGGAGTAGGCAGTAACTTTGGCAGGAAGGCCTGGTCTGTCTCAGGGCATTTGCGGTGGATCCCAGTGGTGATGGACCAGAAACAATTGTAAGGTTGTGAGAAGGATTGCATTTGGATTGGTTGCCATACAAGTGGATGAAGTCAAAGGCAAAAGATGTACAAAGTTTAGAAATATGGGAACATTGGGATCCAAAGGGTTAGACAAGAAAGCATGGTCCAAGGTTCAAAAAGAGTCCAAGGGCCTGGGCATCCCAGAATATTTGCATTTATATAAATGGTATATTTCTTTTATTGACATATATAGTATCCTGAATGGGTTTTTTGGAATGTTAAATATAAAGCTAACCCTGTTCTTCATGTTACATGGGAACTTGAGTTGTGAAGAACATTCTATAATGGCTAGTTTTCCTCTCATAGGAAATAGTTGATTGCATTTTTCTTTATAACTGGGTTCCTTGGGGGCATAGTTGTTATTGTTGATGTTGGTGTTATTGTTTGTCCTTCCTGATTAAAGAGGACCAAAATGACATCATGATGTCAGGGTCAATGTACATTGTGTTCAGGAAGACCTAAATTCTAATCCAGTGTCAGATACTTACTAGCTATGTCACCCTGAGCAAGTCACTTAACCTCTGTCTAACTTAGTTCCCTCAACTGTAAATGAGGATAATAGTAGTAACAGTTTCCCAGGGATGTTATGAGGATAGAATGAGATCATATTTGTAAAATACTTAACACAGTGCTTAGCACATAGCAGGTGCTTAATAAATGCTTGGTCCCTTTGCCCATTGTGATCCTACATATTTTATTTTATACGTTTAAAAAAGTTATTCTGAGATAGAGCCCACAGGCTTCACCAAACTACCAAAGGGGTCTATGATACAAAC